TGCTTCAAAAAGCACACGTGAACACATAGAATTATCGATGCGGTTATTTTGCTTAATTTGCCACTTTCGCATAAGCTATAGCCTCTACTTGAGCCAACACTACTACAGATGTTTACGATACGGATTAGTAGATGATAGAATGCTTTTTGTTTACTTGGAAATGTTGCCCGTGTTAAGTGGCATTCTGTTACACATTTGTAAACAAGTTGAGAATTCATTGTTAAAATGGCAAGTTGGAAGTATATGGTTAATTACTGTCGAGAGAGTATCAATACTAATTAATCTACCATTAGGATGCTGATATATGCTATACACATGCCTACGATATGTACATGACGTTTACGTAACTAGCAGAAGCTCTTTCAGGGAGTTATTACCCACCATAATTTCCACCATTTGATTTCACAACAACTAACAATAATAATGTGATTAAAGCCGACGAAGTGATCAATATAAATTTGGTATTATATAATTTGTTTGTTACCGATTTCGAAAATTAAATGTCTTTCTATAGTCATGTGAACCATCCGTGCAATTGGATAAAATCGTTTTCGCGAAGAAGGTAGCTTGGTGGACGCCCACTACTTTGCACAGAGCCAAAGTGCGCTGTGCATTATCAAAATTATCAAGAACAGCTAACACGTTTTACATAATACCCTATGTTGAAGTCTTTGTAATGGGCTTTTCTACATTTGAGTACCTCGATATCTCTGATTGGCTAGCGAGGAAGCTGCTTTACCATTACAAGACTATGAGACCGTTAGAAGATTAAATTAACGTACCGTTTTAGCTAGATCCTGCCGTTATCGACAGTTGCATCACATAAGAACCCTTGTACCATGGAACGTAGCATCACGTACTATACTGGAACAGCCCTACATGCACGAATGGCACCGGAGAACAATGGCAATGATTTTGAATAGAACTTCGAATATCCCAATATATATGTCTATATATATACACACACCTTTAATGAGTAGAAAAGCAATCCTTACTGTGTTCAATAAAATGTAGGATGCTCGAACAATACTGCACGTTCTCCTGAAATTTTCGTTTTTTTTTTGCTCGCTCAAAACACAAGTGCTGCCAGTTCGATATATAACTACAAGCAGAATAAGAAAAACGTTACGTGTCTGCGTAATTTTTAAATCTCGGATAGATTCCATTAGGGTTGCATGATTTCTCGAACACCCTGTAGATTAGTAATGATTCTTCGCTCTTTTAAAATTACAAGAACAGATATTATTTTTGGTTAACTTTGCTCTGCGTTAAAATCATTTATGCCTTCAGCATGTGAATATTATTGAGAACGAGAGTTTAATATTATGATTATATAGTAAACAATGAATTTATGTAGAATATGGTAGAATGAGAGCCAATCGAAGCTTTTACCATGGCGTGTCCTAACCAAGCATATTGCTGCAAGAACAGTTACTGGTAACTATACGCATTAACTTAGAATACACAACTAGCTAAGCGAATGACCGTTACGACAAACGATGATGGACCATCTCATATAGTGAGAAAGAGAATGTGTTACGTTATTGATTTCTCTACATATATATCATCTAGCATGAGACAGAAGAAACCTAACCTCATATGGGTTGATAAGATGAAAAGTGAGTTGTTGGGAGACTACGGCGGAAGCTGATCAGTCATGAAGCACACGGGTGTTAGCACTCGGGTTTGGTGTATGTAAAGGTACTACATCTGTTTCCTTCAATCGAAAGAATAAAAAAAGACGTTTACATGTTTGAGCTATTACCTTTCAAGAATGACTCATTTCTTTAAACCGAAATTCGACTATGTTGATAAATGGTTATCGCAGATGATGACGGTCGGAACATAGCTCTAAAATAACTATATAATTACAATACCTGTTTGACAGTCTAGCAGCTTCATGAGTACATTGTTAATAATTAGAATTAAGAACAACTGGAGAAAGTGATGAACAGATCTTGATTTAGGCAACCAAGGTTGCATGACAACGCTTTGCCTTACACAGCAAATGTGTACGGCGGTACGAGCCCGAGAGTTTTATTCGGAGGATCTCTGTCGTTCGCCAGAGATCATCATTGCCACCAAAATTGCGACAGGAAAATTATTCAAGTTTCAATTTTATGTAGAATGCTCACAGACTTTTGTACCTTATGCTTGTACACTTATGCAATAGCTAATTTCCTGTCTAAATTACACAAAATTTAAGATAAAATAAACAGACATGTCTGTGAAAAGTAAACGAAAGTTTCCATGAACATAACGTGCTTGCCTACTTAACTTAGGGCTATGTGAAATGGCCCAGATTCGAAGTAAGTTGTAGACACACTTGGCTCGCGCTGAGGACCTGCTGTCTGAAGCAATGCTTACAGGCAATACCGGATATAAAACGCAAAGCGCTTAATTATGCGTGTTAAATTGTGCTACATTGTATTTCCTATTGAACAACCTAGTATGAACGGACATTGCCATTTATGATTGAACTGTTCGTTCTCGATCTACGAAATCAGTACAAATTGAAATAAATCGGGTAAAGTAACAACTATTTTCAAGGTAATAAAAATTGAAATAGTATTTTCCTTCTTATTGGAATTATCATTTCGCAGCATACGCGCCCTGCTTCGGTTTCGTTGCCCACTATCTACAATCGAACAGGAATAGAGCGGAAGGACAGCCCGCCGGCTTCAGACTCTAATCATAAGTTACATCCGTTATGCTTCTGTGCCAAAGGAAAACTGGGTCTTTGTAGAACAAGCCTACGAACTTAATATGGCAAGGGAAATCGTCCGCCGCAATAGAAGTGCATCCGGACTCATGTTTAAATTATTAACTTCCAAATCCAGAGTCTACCTCCTGACGACTAAATACGCCCCTGCTCAAAGGACAGAAACGAGTCCTTATATACTAAATCAATGTGACAGAAGACCACGTTCAGAGGAGTCCGCATCCAGTTGAAAAGTACAATGATTCGAGTTATTTCTCATGTTTCATGTATTTATCTACCAATGCGGACAAGTTAGTGCAACGCTGGCTACCTGAGCACGCTTTGATCTTCTAGCCGTCTCCCAGCCTAGATTTCAACCAGTTAGGTCGCTATCCATGAGACGCGATCGACTGAGAGTCGACTCGCTCATTGTTTCTGTTAAAAAAAAAATAAATTATGTTATGATAAGGTGCGCCGGCGATCCAGGCCCCGTAATCGACGTAAATGACAGATGCATTAAATAGGAATGTCGCTCAGGGATGTCTTCATCGGCGTATAAACAGTGATTGACAGAAACATCTGTTCTTACATAGATGCAGGTTACAAACGAGCTATACAATAATTTTTACCAATTGATTCCGATTTACACATAAGTATATAGTTTAGTAGCTATTAGTATATCCAATAAATGTGGAACTCTTTATTTCTATATACAATGGCTTATGTACGCAAATTAAAGGGGCCACCTCTTGCTCTATATCTTAAACTTGTTTGTTTTTTTTTTTTTATCTTGGGGCAGTTTTTGGTAATTCTGCCCATGCTTTCCTGTCTTACTAATCATGACGCCCTGGCTTTGCGCTTTTTAAACAAAAAGAAGAACGACCACTTGTGCATAGACGTATGAGAATAATGTATGTATTTTTCTGCGAAAATGATGCCTCTATATTTAACATGATTCGGTTGGTACAATAAATTGCTTCAAGCTCATCTTATCTCAGGTCAACCGAGCGACTGCAATATTATACCTTGTGCCACCGATTGTTTCTTTAAGGGCATTATAAACCTATACGTTTTTTTCTACGCAAACTTTGGTGCATAGAAATACGTACAACAGCGTGAAAAACGTACGAGATGCAATAGCATGAAACCGAGACCGCGTAGAAGTAAGTCAGTGGGCCCCTAGTATATTGCGATTCTGTGCATGTGTGCATGCTTGGTCACGCACTCTTACACAGACTGTTTAGGTAGGATATGCCAATTACATGGGTCGATTATCGTCATTCTTCAAACAGAGTTTGGGATGCTTTCAGTAGTTGGCCTTGTGTACTTGGTTCGCAAGATCTGTATTGACCATGCCACTCAACATATATTAGTGTATAGTAATAAAAAAATGACTGGATATGCTGTAACTATACAGAATTAACTTTCTAAATTCAGAATACGCTGCCAATGATGGGCATTAATGGAGGGCCACTCAGCATTGAATTCGATCAAGCCAAAACAACAGACATCTTCTAGAAACTTTTTACTGGATGGTAGGCTGAGATTCGAGACGTGGAAGCTCACCTAATCGGGCAGAAGATTTCACAATTCCTTTATACTTTGGATTCATATTAATGGCTTTCTGTGGCTTTCCATCATTAAGTAAGAATTGTCAGACCACTCTAATTAGCCTGCTGTTTGTTACTTCATCCAGAATGGCAGCCGGCGCCGATTCTGTTATGTCTAAACTAGTTTTCTAACTGTAACGCCGCCGGATGTACTGCAATTACACTATATATATAGATGCGAAACTTAGCGTTGTAGTCCCTGTTCAGTCGCCGGTTGGCCACAGGTTCCTAGTTCCAACGAATCTGCTGGTCCGTCGCGCTTGAGAGCATCCCACTCGACTACCAATATACGTTGAGTGAGAAAGGGGAGAAAACTAGGTAGACCCAGCACTAGAGAAGGAGGAGATCACTGCGCCGAGGCCCCGAAGGTCAGTCTCGCAGCGTGCCGGCGGAAGCATTAAGCGAGACATCCGCCCATCCCAAACAGTTACCTGTCCTGAAATGGTGGAAGTACCGAATAACAAGATAAACGTACGCTTACTTCTGCTTATACGAGTCGCTGAGTCATATAATGTCTGTGGTAGGCTAGTAATATCACAATCTCCATTGGTCCCTGGGCAGATTCTCGCTATATTTTGATTGTAAGTTCCGTCGAGGTTATGAGACCATCCGACCAGCACCACCACAACTATGTGAACCGACTGCGTGTGTGCTTACGTCAGCCCTCTCCTTTCACGCATTAAGGATATTTCAGACGTGAACCCTCTATCCCACGAAGGCCTATCGTCAGAGTACGGCGTTGTGACTTCCCTTGTACTTAGTCGTCCAAACATGTAAGCCAGTGAACCTTCATAGTACGAGGCCGTATCAACATATTCGAGTATAACACTGGCTCATCTCATCGTCGGCATCACAACTGACGCTACGTAGCCTTCAGCAAGCCTTTTCTGTTGTGAGTCATCGTAGAAGAAGACTTGTAGGCCTGTGTATGGATGGTTGGATTTCATCACTCAAATTACACGACCATGTAGCACGCCGAGACAGCATAAGAGCGACAATAATTATGGAGGCGACTGTCGTCGTGTCGAATTGAAGAACAAGGTGATGCGGCAAGGCAAGCTACCATGAAGATCATGAAGATGTGACAAGCAGAGAAACTCTTTGCGTGCGTTGTGCTTTTTTATTCTTCGGACGCATGTTGCGCTAGACACACGCTGAAGGGGGTGGCACAAGGTGAACAAACGTCTAATCATTATGTGGACATTTGTCATTGCCGCTGTTTGTCTTCAAGGATGCGCGGTCATAACCCATGCAGGTACTTTAGATATACTGTAGTTTAGTTTGACACGGAATTGGTATAGTCGATATTTTGTGTGATGCATTCGAAAGAAAATTAATGCTTTTTCACAGATAACTTTTATGGGAGACTATAGTTTGATGTTCTTATGTCACACACCGGAGTACATATATTATTCGAGGCTGTGTTGAGCTTCACATAAATATGTGACTGTCATATATAACCGACAGCGGCATATTCTACAAACGATCGTGCTTATGATCGACAAAAATTCACGTTTCATAGAATAAACAATGACATATAAGCAACATGTCCACTTTAATGTCGACTAATATATATATGTGTATATATGGAAAAATGAAAAAGCATAAACATCTCAACCGTTGTATTTATTTGTGAACATATATTGGCTTAACTACAACGTACAAAGGTGCTTGCAAGTTTGCGGCGTACTACTAAAACGAACTTTAGGATTCTCATTGTTTATATTATTGGTACTTAGGGCGACTACGAAACGTAAACTATAACTTTATGACTTGTACGTTTATGGAACTTATCGCAGTTACTGAGCCTGAATCAAAATTATGCTTAAACATTTTCCGTCATACTGGTCGGCGCCGGAAAGCGTTAGGAGAAACAAAGGCTTCAACTTGCTTCATTTGACAACACATCTCGAAGTCACTCGATGAAAACAATTTAATTTGTTTTCGAATGGTGATTCGGCCGAGGAAACTAACCATGATAATATATATAAAAGAATTACGTTTTTTTAAGCTTCAGGGCTGGTCGCTGATGCAGCTTCTCGTCCCCAAGATCACTGTAGTAGTAGTGAAGTCTTTATAAATGTCACAAACGATGGAAGCAGCTATGTTTAACGTGAAGTAACGGCATAGTATTCATCTATTAAATATGTAACGCATCGTGATAGCTAGGCGTTAAGTTCTGTACACAGTAGATTCTAGCGTCTGGTTACCATCACTTATTTGGCATAACAAGTCGGTTTTTTTTTTAGTTTAACTATAACTTGAGATAAAAAAAAGTGTGCTCATCGCTTAGAGGGACGAGATTTTCAAATATCTTTAAGCTACCGACATTCTATTCCATTACTGACACAATGATGCAATATGCCTAGTAAATAAGCTGAGCATTCTATAAAAGATTATTTAGGAATATTCAATAGTTTCCGCCAGGTTAAGTTCGCAAATGATTATCGAAACAAGCTTCTTTTAATTATTTGTTCGCTCCTTTTGTTTTTCAGAGGCAATTTTCTCGAGTCGTTTGCGAAAGCAGCATTTTCCTAAGGTTGTGCTCTTTCGCATGGCTCGAACTGGTAGTAAAAAAATTGTCGGTAACAGAAAACCTACGTAACTCTAATTTATAACAAATACAAAATGAATGCCTTCGTGTATCGTTTAAACGAAATACTACTGGTATATTGCAAAGCGCAACCCCGTCCTCTGTTACTTAAAAACACTAATTTCGGCGAATAGGCTCTAGTCCGTACATTAGTGGCTCGTTTCTAGCAGGCCCTATTCTGCTGACGGTTTGTTACATGGAGGTCGAGGCATCTAATACTACACACTGAACTAGGGTTTTCTTGGCAACGTTTTATCCCTCCCGCGGCAAACTTTTTCGCTATAATTAAAGCTCACGTCGATTTTAGCGGCTTCCGGCGCTAAAACAGTGGAAGTTGATGTACCAACTTTACAGCTTCGAGCGGTTAGCTCGCAGAGCTGTCGAAACATTGCCACTGCTTATCTCCTTCTGTTTGCTTATGTCACCAACGAGAAGTGTCCGCCCATTGTTGTTATGCTGATAATCATCATTCTTATGGCTGGGTACAGGTTTTAATGGCGTATGCCCATATTCATCGTCAGGCATAAACTCATTGTCGATGGCAATTGGTCAAAATAAAAAGAGTTAAAGTGTTGCTGTCCATCATGATTTGGAGTTCCTTGAGAGTTTGCTAGACCGAGGTGCGCTACTTACCCGGAACTCGATATTTTTTCAGATCCGGCCTGTTTTGCCATCTGAACTGAACCGTGTACCCTGTTGTCTTTCTGCTCCCTCGAATGCATTGTGTCTCCTTGAACACGGCAGTCATCGTTCTTCCTTTACGAATAACCAAGATGTTTGGGTATAGCAGTAGATTTACTTCCGGATGTTACATCTCTGAGCCGTACAGCCGATTCTGAGCGTAGTTGTATCAAAAATCAACGGCGCCACGCTTAGTTACATTAGAGCGGGTCGTATCTATGATATTTCTAGCCCAAAAATAATCCCTGAGACTGACTTCTAAATATATAAAACAGGAAATTTGAAAGAGCGACAGGAACTAGGCTGACCGTCCTTTTTGCGGTCTTACCTAAAAATAACGATATGCGCCACAAAAGCAGCAAGTTTAAGGAATGTTTTTCCACGGTCACAGCGTGAAGTTGATAGCTAATTAAATAAATTTAATGTTTGAAGAATACCATGCCGATGACAACGCTACATGTATGATGTAAAGTAGTAATTCTAGATTTCAATAAAGGAGAAAAAGCTTAATTGAATGAATCAATATTCTTCTATTACTCTCTTTATTCACACAGGTTGTAAAGTACGTGTCGTACATGGGATTTGAAGTCGCGACTTTTCGTCTCTTTCACTTAGAGCCCTCGCCGTGCAAGTCATCGCGTCCGTAAAACGTACTTTCAATTTATCCGAATTGCTAGAAAGCTATTTAAGTAGTATTTAAACGCTTAAGACGTCTTGCAGCTTGCTGTTGATAACTCTACCGCAGACAGCTATTCATCATCGAGAAACAGTTGCTCTTATGTCTGACAGTGGTCTGTAAGGTGGATGTGGCAAATCTTACAGATAACAAAATATTTCCAGCTTATCGAACGATAGCGTAGAAAAAAAAGGACACAAATGGATGTGGGCGATTTTGGCTACAATTTTTGCCATGTCGCCAAATAACCGTTGTAATAAAGCTCACAAAATGACACAGCCGGGAACGTGTTACAGACTGGTAGGCAGGAAATCTGTATAAAGAGAGCCGGACGATGTGCATGCTGATTATAAGGCGAAGTTCGTTTAAACTCTGCGCTTTGATTGTAAGCTTTTAGTTAGAGCAGGTAAATGTGCATACGCTTATACTCATACTTCATTAGATAGCCGTCAGCCAACCGTTGCTCTTCGCCTCAAGTGACAGATACTCAAGATTCATGTGTGCTGTGATGCACTTATATAGGAGCCTGGTAAAATGACAAGAGTTGTATATGGCTTTACGTTAATGGGTCCAGCACTGGTCAACAACAGTCGACCTAATACAAGCCCCCGACATAAAACTAACATCGCTCGGTGGATCATGGTAGGGTCAACTATAACGATGTATCAAGTTTGTTTTATTATGATCAATATAGTGATCTGTTAAAATTTCAACACACGATTTTTTTCAATGGAATTTTCAGGCCCATCGGGTACTGGCCGAGAATGTATGGTCGACGAGTCTAATCCACGCGGTTGGTTTGATCCTTCCAACGTATACCCCTGTAAATTAACTCAAAAATGTTGTAAGGAGTATGGAAAGCCTGCCTGTTGTGCTAGCAAACCCACATCTGAAATCGTGTAAGTACTGCAGGCAGAAATGTTTCGTTCAATTGTTTCTCTAATCAGATTTCTCAGTAAAAAAAATGTGTATTCAGCTGAATTTTAAATTAAACATATAACTTTAGCACGTTATGGTCGGTTAACCAAATAGACTTCTATTCCATCTGTCGCAAATCTAGTTTATCTTAATCAAAAAAAAGCCTAGCATTCGTCCGTGCGAAAACATGGCAGAGCCAAATAAAAATCAATTTTTGTTTCTACGACAAGTACTATTGGTATATACGAGGAGTGCTTCCGCCTTCTGCGGTAATTTGGTAAAATATAGGACGAATGTTGACAAACGAGGTCACTGTTCATTTGGTTGCATTATTTATTTCTTGGAAGTTGGCTACAGGGAACTAGGTGGTCCGCGCTTCGTTTAATTCTCGGTCTATCAACCACTGTTTTTCAATATAGCTTTTTTAGCAAATTTTAGAAACGTAGTGAAAGGAAAATTCGTCTTTTTTTCAAATATGAACGGCGGTATTTGATTTAAATTTGGCACAACACCTAAATGGCGGGCGGGGGCATTTAACCAATGAAAGCGTATGACCGATCACTGTATTACAGCGAAAAACTATTATGTTACGTAAAACATTGGTAAACAAACAGATGGTTACTTGATGCAATCTGTTAGCACTACTTGAGACTAGCATGATTATATGGCCTTGCGTATATAATACATTGATTTGACTTATTGTTTTATGCTGTTTCGCAAAGCTGAAGCTTATTAATTTGTCACTTAAAATCTTTCGAATGCTTATAGGACAAAGAAATTCTCACCTTTATAAAAAGCTAGCATGATCCAGTATCGAAGCGTTATAATCAGCGTTCAGCGAATTAAGTCGTTTTATTTTCGGCCCGATTCGACATTGTAGATCATTACGATAGCAGGGCCATATAAGGATTGTTTTTTATCAAGTTTCTCTATCGCACAGGTCAGCATCTATGGAAAACTGCGCGTCATTGACATTGCAGGCCTTTCTTTTTGTTCGCTCCACCATTGACTCGATTGAGTTTCAGGCCTCACTCATCATAATGAAAGAGAGCTCGAAGTCACTCATCAGTGAAGCTCTTACAAAAAAGGGTCCTATGAAAGCTTCCATTGATATACGTCTAGATCTAGAATTCTTTCAATCGTACACCCGATGTTTCTGCGCGGTTCACTAATCGAGTGAATTATTCACGCTGTGTGTTATCTAACTGTATTTAAGCTTGAACACCATTGGGGTTCAACGCCGGAGGTTCGCGAAACGCTAGGTCCAGTGAAGACTGATTTGAGCAGTTGTCACAAAACGCGATAGGTTTATTAGTACGTAATATTAGATACATATGTACAAATTGATCGACAAAAATCAAAAGAAGTGTGCCTATTCGTCAGACGCACCGGTGCGTACCCCATGTCCTTGTTGTTTACGGTACCCTTGACCTGCTGACTACGAGCGGAGAGCCTGTTCGATCAGGCTAGCACCCCACCATATTTCGATCAGATGAAAGCCGATTAGAAGAATATTTTCTGTTCTGTGTGCAAAGTTCGCTTTATTCGCCGACTTCGAGGCAGTCAATGTTTATTAGCGTTATATGGGCTCACAATTACTGACGCAGTATTTAGAGCATAAAAAGTGAACATACCCTCGGCCATAATCTACACGAGCATCTCCAGCGTTCAGTAAACTTGGGCAACGGATGTAGGGGCCGACGAGGATCACAGTAACATAAGGTGCGTATTTTAGACATGGCTGCTAGAAGATATAGTTTCACAAAGGAACTTCAACCGATCGCGGTAATATCCCATTGTACAAGTTACGGATCTATTATAGATGTAGCTCTATCATAGCATATGAGCTCACGCCATGCACGAAACCCTCCACGCTCCGTTTAGAGCCTGGCGCGGAAGAGGTATAAATGGGAAATCGGCTATTTCTGGGCAGGAACTCCCAGCTGATTGCTTTAGCTTTGCTGAGGTAAATAAGTAACTAATTACTGGGTTCTTGATTAAGGTTTTCCATTATAGGTTCGTTGCCTGTTTCTTTCGTCTGGATTTAAATTCGAATCATCGTGCTTCTGCTTGATGCAAGTAGGTCAAACGACCCCGTACTAGATAATATGCTTGCTGGGCCTCGTTTTGAATAGATTTACATTTTCTGAATTCGGACACTTTGATCCGCAACTTGGCGCTGGTGGTGCAGATGCTGCTGGAAAATCAAACGTTTTTTTTAAACGTAAAGGAGGGTTCATACTCTGCTTTCACAAGCAGCTGAGATTTTTGTGCAATTTATGTGGCATACCTATTTGACTACTTTCAAAACAGTTTATCTAACAAAGGCGCAATATTATGATATTGTATGCCGCAAATAAACGCAAAGACCAGGAGTCACGCGCTCAAACTCCACCAATAGCAGACACTACACGACAGGCGTGATTTAAAAAAGAGCAAATAAATAACTGTGCCTACGCCTGTGTCAGGCAAGATTGAGCGACTACAGAGCGTTGCTGGTCAGCAACAGTCCGCATTAATTTTTCGAAATTTGTTATGCAATATATATGACAGTAAATCTACATATAACAGTTAATGGCTTATAAGTTTTGACTCATACAGGTATGTACTTATTTATTCAGTTCCTCCGCTTTGCATACATGACATCTGCAGGCAAGAACAGCTTTTATTGTGGGGTGGTTTGTTCTCCTTTCTGACGGTGCTCGCCGTACTCATCTATTGCCGACGGACGGACGTGCGTCTGTGCGAGGGCCGAAGGGTGAACTGGTGCGGACGCAACCGGGTGAGGACCATGCACGACACTTACTGATTAAATAACCATTATTATACCCGCTTCCCACGGACGTCGTGTGCTACTTGTTTTCTGCAATAAAATGATTTACAAGAAACAGTCAGTTTTGTTAGTCGTAAAAAGAGTGCTCTCAAAACGTCGAAATGTTACAATGATCGTTGATAAAGGTAACGCTAAACTTTGAACACGAGAAATGCACTGAAAACCAAAAACATCGGTGGAAAATAACGGAAGCCAAGGAGGGGCAAGCAAGCCGACAGACCTATTTACGATGCACAATCTAACAGGAGATAGGAACGAACTGTCAGCCTATTTACTCAGGACTCGGCTCGTTCCGGTTAGTATACTGTGTATATCATTTAAATCATGTAGACATTTTTCTCACAGCATGGTGGTAAGTTATGTTGTGTTTTTGTAAGATTTAACTATATTATTATTATTATTTTAATATTGGCTGACGCAGGTAGCCTTCTCTCAATATGAACTTGAATTTCGCACGGGTGCATATTTTTCAGAGTGTGTTATTTTAAAGTATTTTATTAATACTATTTTAGAATTTTTGTTTAGCTTTATGCCATGTCACCTTGTTTGTTTCGTAGTGAATACTGGTCCACTTACTCACCGCGCATCCTGATCTCTGCTTAACCTATATCTGCAATCCCTATTTAGTACGAAAGAAAATGTTGGCTGGATAGCACTCTTCTGCGCTCCGTTTTCCAGTTCCCTTTTAGTCCCATGTTTATAGCTGTCATGATGAAATTATGGCTTCTCGGCGATAGCACTCCGCTGGTCCGCCCTCTATTTGTTTCTAACTCAGACCTATCGGCAGAGTGGGAGCATATTCAGAGTCATACACCCACTCGTGCGTTCGGTACTCGCGAGGGATGTTGCAGCCCTGAGACACATTGGGGAGATTCCCCCTAAGGCTAGATGACGGTGGCCGGCTTTTAATTGTCTGAATTGCTCAACGCCGTATATGCACGCTTAATTACCCTCCCTTACTCTTGGTACACTTAGCGTGGTACTACGCATGTTGTCTGTGGTGAGAAAAAATAACAACAAAAACACGAACACGCTAAAAGTAGAAACCGATTGACATCACATTTCAACCAGGACTCGTCTCTAAACAGGTTTTTAAAACTCGTTCATAATGAAGAAACCGAATAAAGGTTGTGTATCTATCCCTGTGCGCGTATAGCACAAGCCGGTTTTTACGTATTATTCATAGTTGAGGTTCGGTCGGTGACTATGACTGGAAATCCTTAGTTTGAATCACTGCTCGCTGTATACAAATTATGTGTTAAAGCTGCTCTTCGAGGCCGTTGTCCTCCGCAAGATAGACTAGACAAAATGAAACTTCTGAAACTTCGTAGGCAGCTAAGAGACATCGTTCAAGACTGAGCTTACCATGCCTATTAAGTATAATTAATTGACCCTATATTTTGACTCACATATTTAGAATATAATTTTTCGAAGTCGTTCTCCTTAGATGATATCAAAACTGTGATTTTTAAACTAACGGAGGCAAAAAAGTTTCGCCGTCAGCTATTTTGATAAAAACATTAGATACTTGTGTATCCATGTGAAGTTTCATTAACCCCAGACTGTCTTCTAGACTAGGTAACTAGCTTGATTGGTAATTAATGGTAACGGACATGGCTGTGAGTAAAGCTCAGTCTACTTACCAATGTGAAAACTGTGAAACAATATAGTTACGTGATTTTTGAACATTTATTTGAGTTATTGTTCACTTAATATTTTTAATTCCAATTTTATTTTTTTGCTAAATTTCTAATCGTATTATTTATGAAGCTCATTCATTTATTTTGTTACATTTCAGCCATCAGCCTAACCCTAATCAATTTGCTCAAATAAAATGCTGTCAACATATTGACTCAGTTCAATTGGACTCCGTCCCTTGTCCTTTTTCAAATTTTCAGACCCTTAATCTGTAGAGGGCCTGCGCAAAGCTTTTTTTTATTCACGCAAAGTCAGGACCATTACACAATGTGGACGCACGCGGACAGCATAAACCTTTCCTAGCTAGAGTATCTGTGGAAGCTGTAGCACATGGGCTTAATTACAGTACATCGTGTGCCTTTATGTTGCACCGAGATTACCGTCAGGCTGTCTACAAGTAGCTGCCTCGCCGTTCTATTACCTTTTTTAGGAAAAAGTCTCCTGGCATGATTTTCGTTCAAACGATAAGTGATAGTAGTGCATGCTGTAACATGAAAACGAAGAGATTGTCTTTCGATAATTATGGCAGAAGGTAAGGGATGAATGAAGTATTGAATGTCTGTAATGAAGACCGACAAGAACGCGTCCTCTGTTTTGTACGGTGAAGTGCCAAAAACATATGTGTTTTTAATCGTCGATCGACGAATCGACCTTTCCAAGTTAAATCGAAGGCGATGTCATGAGTTTGAGGGGGACGTAAATCAGTACAAGTCAATGTATAATTGTGTAAGAGATCAATTTAACGAGCGAGCTATTAAAGCTAGGACTTTTTACGTAGTACTCGTGGTAAAGCAATACAGGAGAACTATATACTTAGTCATGCGGCAGTAATACAGAACGTTTGCGTTTGAACGGCGTTCGACGAAGATTTGAAATGCTTTAGTAGGTAGTTTGTCATGGTGAGCGTGCATTTATCTGTGCATTTAATGCTTGAGGAAAGCCCTTTCAGAACCCAGAATAATGACACAGGCTTCAGATAAGTTCGGGCTTGGGATACGAACGAGAATTACGTAATGGCCCTAGAGGGAGCCACGCGCAGATTATTAATTGTTTTCGGTTGTAGGAAATAGACGGCTTATCCATTGCGAGTAAGTAAATGGTTGTTATGAAGATAAAAGCGTATCTTTATATAGATCATGGGAAGAACAGGACGGAAAATCTGGTTTAATAACATTTTTAACGGTCCTGATGCTTTGTTACTCTGGCTGCTTAGTGGTTAAATTTACTATGCCGATGTATACAGTAGTTTGAATTGTTCATGATGACCTCACCTAGAAACTTTATGGCGTGGAAATCAGGGAGAAGTTTTTTGAGAACGATATACGAGATTTGATCTGTGTTGCTGAGTTGTGCCAAATATAAAACGGCGAATCGCCTTTGATTTTTATTTTGAAAAAGATTTTCCAGCTTTTGATTTACTACTTTAACCAGTAAGGGAGATATTACGCCACCAAGTTTCTTCTTGAAAGGTGTGTCTGTTATAAAAGATGGGCATTCTTAAACTTGTGATGAAATTGTTGCTGACCGCTGCGTTCAATGTTAGGCTATACGTGTTTTAACAAGATGGCGTACCCGCTCCAATGAGAAAATTGGTCTAGAGCTGGCCGGCAGAGCGCATAAGCATACCCTGAACTTTGGGCATTTCTGCAGTCCAAAATCTCTTCCAGGTCAAAATCTGTCCAAAACCCTGTGACTCGAATAATCGAACAACAGCCTGACAAAGCTCGATATAGAAATGTTTAACTCTTCACCGCCGTTATTAAGAAACCCTTAAAAAATATTGATATCAGCGTTTTGCAGATGCCGCGTACCTGTAAAGGGTTTAAGTCCCGGATCAAAGTGTTCCATCCAGGACATCTTTATCGCTATATACAAAAGCTATATTTATATTTAGTTAGATACAATCGATACACGCTACATCACCAATTTATCTCGAACACCGTTTAAATGTTTAACGTATTATATTATCGAATCATTTTACATAGACGGGTTTAAAAAGGACAGAATGTAGAAGTAGAGTATGCAGCGTAATTTTTCGAAACGCCTTCTCGCTAATCAACTAATGTATCCAAAGCGTATTAACAAAGGAACTAAGATCGTAGGATCGGTATAAATAGTTTTGTTTGGGAAGAGTTAAAAATTCATCCAACTACATATTTATTTACGCAAGGCAATTTAGTGTATATATGCATATATATCCAAGTGGTTCGTCACCCTAGAGCGGAATATTTATATAGATGGTGATACGATGATAGATATTACAGAAGTGTTTTTAGTGGTTGTTTTTTATTTTTCCTTGCTGTTACTTTATAAGAGGTATGGACAAATGCATGCACGCACGACTGGGATGTCCGGAGCTACTTCCAGTAATTCATGATAGGGCTCAAACCTGGGATTCACTCAACGGTGCTTTCGAATTAGCTGAAAGCCTAACTGCTAACTAAGCAAATACCCACTAATCAACGACTGTCTGCTGTACCTCCCTGTAAAGATTCGGCAATGCTTTTCGTATTACTTCAGGATCTTCGCAAAGAGCGGGCAGAAGAGCTACCACCATTCTCTGCTTCTTTAATGCCTGTCTGGGCCTCAGTCAACCTTCTAATGGATCGTAAAGTGACCAATACAGCAATAGCCTCAAGATTTCGGAAACATCTGTATCCGGAATATTATACATAATTTCAGATAGATTTCATAGTTTGCGATCCGCTCTAATTTTTGCATCAATGTCTGTCCAAGATTTCAGGATGAGACATCATGGAAACAAGGCAATAGTAACAAAGCTCTAGGTTACGTTGAATGTCACTAATCATTTTAGCAAGATAACAAAAAAAAAACACCATTAAGCCAGCAAAATGAATCAGGGGTAAGTAACTGTGAATGTATAGCTGCAGCAGGCTAACGGGCTTAGTTCAGTTTTCACCAAGGCCTTAGAAGACGTGTAGTAGGTTCCAATCTACAGCTTTGCAGTAGGTTGGAACCTACTACACTAAGTTAGGACTAACGTTAATCAAGGTCAGTAGTATAAGATCAGACTGACGAAATAATTATAGCAAACCGACAAGATTGCCGTAATATTTCAGACAGAGAAACGCAACCGTAACGGGAAAACGTTATGTATTTAAGTAACAGTTTACGCTTAGTAGTGAGCGACATCAACCCCCTTAAATTAGCTAGGTCGAAGGCCACACAGACGTTAGGAAAAGCCCGTGGACCTTCTCAGTATATCATTAGAAGCTTGTATCAAACTTCGAAATATCTTTGGAGGAACCAGCTTAAGAGCAAAATATACTGAGACAAGCTTTCATGGGACGCGTTTGTCGCCACATGGAATGAAACGGGAGGGTCGATACATTCTGAATAAAAGCACACAGACAAGTCCTACCAACAAATAAATAGTTATCAAAATTTTCGTATTATTTAAATAATTTGTGCCCCGGCCTTGTAATAATTAACTAGCGGATAATGATGCTATGGTACCATCGTGGTAAGATATTAGCAATCTTCTAATGGTCATTGTGTGGATATCTGTTTGACAATAGCATGTCCCCTCATTGGCTAATTATTGAGCTTGGAAATTTATTGCAGTGTCTAAACTTGTCAAACTAGACTCTACATAAGCGCACACTCTACTGTGAGATAATAGGGACACAGCTATCAGTAGCTAAATTCCACATGCTTTATATTTGCCTTTACTATAAAGTAAATTTACCGCATCTGGTTTGCCTAGCATCTGTGAGGACAAACAAGTAGCTTGGTCTTACCGCTGCAGCTGTCTACAAGCGACTTTCGAAAATCAGTTTATTTTGACAAAGTTACTACTACGATCAAAGTTACTACTGAGAATAACAGTGAAGCAAGCCTCTTAAGGTGTCCGCAAATAAAGGCCGATCACAATCTCGTTTATAACCTTAGTCACTTTTGCTGCCGCCTTAAAAAACAACACTTCATTCTGCTCTGTACATATCACCCTGTATATAAGTTGAACTTGGATTCTCATTTGGTTCGAGAGCCGTGAGGCTTACGGAAAATTGGCGCTAGCTTCATTTGCTGGCAAGCCCAAGGTACATTCAAGTGTGTTTTTCCAAATGCTATTGTTCTTGAGGTTTCTATGCAGACTTGTTTCCAATATCAAAGTCAAACTCTACGCAGGTTCCATTTAACAAGTCCGTTCATTTTATGTTATTTCAATGGAAATAGACCCTTAAAATCATATTAACCCTTTTGTCATACCCTTGAAAAGGCTCGAAATATCATTATTAACTAAGTATATCCTTTGGGTTATCCGTGTGTTATTACCTTGTTGCGACCGAGCGTTAGCTGTCGAACTTTCGTTGTGGGTACATTCGATAAATTTCTAATATAAATAATAATGCCGTAGCTCATGGCTAGCAATTGTAATTAGTTCAAGTTCTACTTTTAAATGGTAATATTTATTTTGCTTTATTACGTTTTGGCTGTCGTTCACGTCACAAAACAAGGGATGCTACTTTATTTTAATCTATACATTGAAAACTGATACTTAAATAGTACGTAACCTGTGTAAATATATGAGCTGTTTTTTTAAACTGAGAATTATAGAAACATTTTAAAAAAAACCTAAGAACATCTAACAAAAACACTTGAAAGATATTGGAGCTTCTCGGAGATTGCGAAACCTGTTGAGAATTTCCTGTGTATTCGGCAGAAATCATTGTAGTGTGTGTCTTCGATTCGTAAACAATGGCTTAAGTTAAATTAAGAAGTAGACATTTTTTTTTTACCACAGGGAAAATTTAAAATGAAGCGAACTATTGAACAATTGGCCTAGATACAAAAATAAGCTACCTAATGCGCATTTTTTACGTTGTACATACTTCTGAAAGTTTGTTAAAGACACGGGAAACCTCAAATAACACAAAAAATGTGCCGTAACATTATGTTCTCATACTCTGCTTCGTTCGCCTAATGGCACACAAGATAAATGAGAAAAACCAGGTAAGTAGTCCTGCTGCACAATGCGACTGACGATAGACATATAAGTACGTATCAACCAAGTAAAGCTAAAATTTATATATTGCAATTTTTGTGGCTAAATATGCTGCCGTAACCCCACGAGACCTTACAGGCATTAGCACCCCTGCAAACAAGCAGCAAAATGTATGTCTCTGTTCTTCAGCCGAGGGCCTAGGGGTATCCCGGTGGCTCCGCCACGGTAGTAGTAAGCTGATGGTGGGCACTGCCGGCCACGACACACACCCGCATCAATATGTGCTTGTGCATGTTGTTTGCTGATATATATGGTGCGTGGGTCTCACGGTATGGACCTTGTAGAACGAGGGAAGCTTTAGCACTGTAGGAGGTCATTCGTTAAAACTCGTTGTCATGTTGGATTGTTGCAGCGACGAATCATACAGTGGGTGATGAGGTCAACAAGGAATAAAATACGCCTGGCACCTAACAGTAACTGTGAAACCTTTTCATATGTCGAATTAGGCGACTAACGGTGACACAGCCAACAGACGAAGGCAGCAATAGGAACGAAACAAGTAGTATTCACAACTATTATATATTTATGCAGTGTAGTTTGCGGCTCCGACGCAGAAACGTGTACTATTAGCGTTTAACGCGATGTATACGATATAATTTGTATTGTATAATTATTTTTATTACTGTCATATCTATTACTATGATAATAAAAAAAAAAAAGTGAAATGAAATGTTTCGTGTGGCCCAAATTGTGTGGCCTATGCGGTGTGAATATTAAGATCTTGCTTTCCAGAATGGCCCAGAAGGACATTTCTACAGTTCTACACTTCTACAGAAAACTCATGGTTTTCTTGCGAGCGTAGGACGGCACACAAGAGGGCAGACATAGCAAAGTAACATTTTAACAAGCATATTATACAAGCCGTTCTGAAATTATCTGATCTAGTGATATGGTAATTGGTTGATACTAAGTGATGACGTGGATTTGAAGAAGCAATAATATGGATGCGCGGTAAGCTAGAAGTAATAGCAGGCACGCGGAGGAATAATAAAAAAAAATAGTCAAGGTTTGAGTCATCTAAAACAAAAAGCATTAAATTGCTTAAGAGCTTACCTAATACTTAGGGCTACCATTACCAAAGTGAAAACAGCTGAATATCATAAAATAAAATTCTAAGACACAATAACTACTATGCGACTAAATAGGTTTTGTAATTACCTTTTTTTTATTTTTTGAAAAATTAACGCCTAAACATCAGAGACCTTTTGTCGAGATTTATGAGAAACATTGATAGTCGACTTAACCCTCAACTTAAAAAAAATTACTAGAAACTGCGACTAAAACGCGTATATATATATATATATAACGTTCTTGCTTGACAATTCTGAGTCTTCCCTTAGAGCATGAAGAGAATCTGGCAAAAGAATATGGATGTTCTATAGGCGTAATTGTCGAAGTAATACTAATGATCAATGTATACGTTTCAGTGTTGTGTGATGAGACGCTATTGCACAGTTCACCCAGGTGGGGTCTTGAAGTAGAAAAGGGCGCAAGTCTGAATCCTTAATTATACTTCTTTGTAAAGACCTTACCTATAGTTATTAAAACAGTCTTACTTTGAGGGCCCGATTCTTTTGAATTCAGATCTATTCTTTTTGGCCTATTTTAATCAATTTTGCCCGGAGTGCATAGCTGAAGTCCGGGGCACGACCATGCTAATTTTGATAGCTACGGAACGGAGCCTGCGCTATTTACGATACATTATGGTGGTCTGCTTCACTAAGGCCATGCTCCGTCTGAATTCAGTAATCTGTTTGGTTTGATCATTTTCTGCTAAACGCTTTCCATTGACAGTACCAACTATATAATTAAATATAGGAACAATTATGCTAGATAATTTGTATTCACGTATTTTATTTGTACGATCATCAACGATTTCATTGTCAAGTCAGGTTCTAGCATTACGGTACAGCTTTCCATGTTACAAATTCGAACGGTACATAGATGGTAGATTTGTCTACTATCTCTGTGCTACTAGGATCTCCTCTTCACGGGGACTCAAACGATTGCATATCTACACCTGGTAATGGGTTCCGACGGACTATGTTACTTTAATGTATCACGTGCTGGTACAGAACTCTGAAATATAGGAATATTAACAGGTAAACCATAATGTCACAAAAAACATATCATATTATAAATGGTATTCTATAGTTCCGAAATGACCTGACAGATTACTTGACGGCCTGAAACTATTACATCGCTAAACGTTTCGTACCGACGATTGCAACAATTTATGAACGTACACGTTTTCCCGTCAACCAACAATACGATACAATAAAATAATAATTATAATAATTGATCATCAGCTGTATACCTATACCGTTTACCTCCCGCCTATTGCAACCATGACCAGCCCAGCAAAAGATGTCATTGTGGAATCCAGAAACCAAAGCGTGCGTCGCTGGTGATATGCGACCGCTCCGATTAAAGCGGCCAAAGCGCAAAATGCACTTAACAGCGATCCGATCGCGTCCAGGACCAGGGAGTGGGCGCTCACTCCGCAGGAAAGCATCGTGACTCGTCGAGCTGCCCACAGCTTAACCAAAGCCAAAGTGGCACACACTATGGAGGCGATTGACGAAAGAACTTCGAGTAACGGCATCTGCGGACAATTAAAAGACTTAATAGTTAAATAAAAGAAAAAACTTCATATATACTAACTGACTAATAAATGGTTCCATAAAATAGCAGTCTAATCCTGAATAACGGCACGATAAGACTCAGTTATTCCGTTCATGAGAAACGTCAAAGCGTTCAACGATAGATGCCAACTAACTAACTAACTAACATTTGTAATACAGTCTTTATAGCCCCATAGAATTCGATGTGATGAATACGTGATTGTATACCATATGCGGAAAGGAACGTCAAGCTGACACTGACGATTCAGGGTTCCATCAGGAAAAAGATTAATATTGTTGAAACTCTAGTGTTACTCTACGACAAACAGTTTATAAAACGGATAGTCTATAGACAGCCTATGCAGTTAATTATATTTTAGGAAAAAAGTTCTTGAAAATACCATATTTTGCATTACTTAATTACGAAACAATAGGTAACTTGTGCTTGTTGAATAGGCAGAGCTTCGCTTAGCTGAGAACTCACAGTTACTGGGTTCTCTCTGCTGATTATTCCAGTGACAGCCTTGATAACAACTCCGATCCCTGAGACGATGAAAAGTATTCCGAGCAAGCTGCATACCCTACAAGTCGATATAAATACATTAGCTATAAATTACTTGATTTGAACGACTGGCGTGTCTGGCTAACGGAAATTAACGATAAATCATTAGTGACCTTTTTATTCATGAATATAACTATGGGCGTGCATTGGTAGACTGATCGATAGCACGGAACAAAAAGAGGTGCGCAAAAAGAAGGCCCGCCTAGATCGAGGCTAATAAGGCTGCTTTGACAGCTTACTGACATTTAATATTGCTTTGATCGACTAGTTCCTTAGTCTAGGACTAGGAAGTAGTCGATCGACTAGGGGGTGTCCGGTGCTAGAGGTTAGAGCTTTCGAAGAACAAGCTGCAAACTGATCATTATAGTCGTACATCGGCTCGCAATTTACCTTTATCGAATTCAATGTGAGAAGGTTCCATTGTCGCTCTGTGCTAACTCGGATGCTTATTAAAACTTCATCCTTCATCCTGGCCTCGAACGCTTTATATTCTTAATAAATGACATATGAGAATAGCGTCTCAGTTTAAGCCAACACCGAAGTCCGTGTCGCATAAAGGATTTGGGATTAGAGATAAAACTGGTAGCTGTATTCTATGATAGACTATTCGAAAAGAGGGCACACTTCGATGGTACATTTGCTTGCACAAACCCAAACCTACTTGACAACTTTTTTCACCTGAAAATAAACCTTATTTAACTTTGGAACAAGTATTACTAACTTGCCATTTCTAGAACAAATGCATTAAAACGGCACAATCCTCTTTATGGTTGTTTAAATTTCCTGCAGTCTAAAAATGGGGTACAGAATAATATATAGCCCGACAAGCACGACTGTAGTAATTGCAAATGTGATTTTACTGAAAGTCTGTTGGAAGTTGTTGAAAGGCAGTGTATGATAAGCCTTTTTTATAACGTTGTCTGTTAATTCGTTAACTGGCTCTACGTGCCCTTGTATTTCTTTTTCCATTCTGTATCCTGCCTGTTGGGCGGAAGCCAATAGCGGCTGCCCAGTAATCTATTTCCAAGTTGTTTAGCTCGAACCCCTTTTTCGAATCATCCTTAGAGCCGAGATGTCTGGCCTATTCCATGCCGTTGGGCGTGCATGATTCGTAATAAGTGACGCGCTTCAACGCTGAAAGTGGTGTCCCAAAATCTAGACAAATTAAGAACGCGACCTAATTACTTAATGTGAGCGTCTACAGACAAATAGATCGTTTAGGTTGAGGAATATGTTTCGTATCAAGGGTCTGATATACACTGAAGCATGCTTATATAGCGAGTCCACAATAATCGTAAGGTTGCACTCCGTTTCGGATTAAGAATAAGTGATGCGTCATTGACTAGCTATAGTAAATCATGAAGGCCAGTTTCTTTTTGCGCACCTCTCATAGCCGCCAAATTAACGAACTTAGTCTCGATATTATATATCTAATGAAGTACTGCATAAGTTTTAGGTGAGAAACTTACAGAAACTCCTTATGGTTGAAGGTGTTGCCCTGGAACTGCCAAATTACGATAGCCGAAGAGATCAAATCCAGCAGGCATTCCGCCTAACAAATTATTTAATAAGTGACTTACAATATTAGTTCGCGTTTAAATTATCGTGATTATCGTGCTTTTCCGTAACTTGAGTAACCTTACTCAAGCAATCACTGTTTAGAGTCCCCAAGTAGCCGTATTTTTTTTACCTAAACCCACGTTTTTGATGAACTGTTCAGCGGCTAAATCGTTCAAGATACCATTTTAACGCCAGATAGTAGTAAAACGTTGCATTCAACAACTATTCCTTAGTAGCGAATCGAACAGATTTCTGTAGACCAAGACAACAGCCGTATAGCTAGCTCTATGGGTATCGTCTGATGAAGGCGCCGGGTTTGTAGACCAGTCAGTCAGTCAGTCAGTCAGAAGTATACAATAAAGTGAAATAATTGTAGCTATTAATTAGCTTTTTATTTCCTGTTTGGCTTTGCTTGCTTGTGTTATTTGTAATTTAATTAAATCTAAATATAGTATGATATATGAATTAAACGTACCATCTTAACCTCACGAATATATATCCGACAATATTTCCAATCTGACGTAGTGCGAACGTGGTACTTGGGTCATTTGAAATTACTTCAGCACGGGCTTCATGTCTTTAATATTTATCGTAACTTACCTCAAATCTATCTCGTTAAGTTTTATGTTCATCAGCAACGGTGGTTTCGATACAAGTTTTACGTATTCACTATATTTCAAACAACGATAATATAGCTATAGATAACTAGATGATCGTGTAATGTATTGAATGGTGGACAAATGTTGGAAATAGGTACTTAATATGGAAGTGATGTCTTTTGAGCAGCTAGATGTGCAGCGTTTGTGTCGCCTGCTCGTTATGTAAAATTGCGTACATAGATTTGTGCGCGAAGGATTTCCGCACAAATAGCCTATCAAGCAAGATGTAAAAGGTAAATAAATAAAGGCAATATCAGAATTTGGCAATTTAGATAGAACAAATAAGAAAACAACCAGTAACGGATTGCCAGGAACTAACTATGTTACTTCATGCTAACGCTAATCCAGACAATCAAAGCCTCGATACGATACTTCTCTATTCGTCCCGTGATCGTAATAAACCGCCAATTTTGAAAATTACGACAGCCATTAAAACATTTACTCGAAAAAAAACTTCCCTTACACCTTTTTTTCTTTTCCTTTCCTCCAAACGAATCTTTACGGACAAAATGATGATCCGGTTACCGGAAGAAATCCACATTTAGCACGCTTATACGTACAGGCAAGGACGGCTTGCGGCGGGGCGAACATGCTCAAAATTGCTCAGAATTCAATTATTTTTATGGGATTTATTAGTTTCGCCCGCACAACTTCCCACCTCGTACAACTGGGCATACGAAACTAGTTTAGACAATAGGCGGCAACTAATTATGATTAAGCCATAATAAATATTCCAATTGGATAATGACAAATCAATAACCCAAGCGGATAGGAGTCGACAAACAAAATGTTTCAAAAATCACAGGATGACATATAATACAATGGTTATACCCTTTAAGTAGGCGAAATAAACAATCCTGTCAATAGCGAGAGTGCAGCTTTTCTTGAACAAATAATTATTAAGGTATCTTTAGCTTTCTAGGACCCGTTAGGTTTTTGGAAGCATCACCAATGATGTGCACATACGCTCCTGTGGAAAAAATCAGTCTAATAGGTTTATGATAATGTATTGGATTCTGCAATGTCTATATAAAGTAACATCTCGAGAACTGGATTTACGCAAAGTTGTACCCCTTTTTTGACGAGTGTATCCACATGATAATGAATAGTTTTGATGAGATCACTCCACTGATCCTACAGCTGAACCTACAGACGACAGAAGCTGCGTCAGAAGTTGCGCCTTTTGTAAGCTGAACTTTTGCTCTAATAAATGCTAATCCAAAAGATCTGATTACACACTTTTCAGTTCCATCTAAGTTACTAATAGTGCTAATCTTAATCGAATCTTCTTAAAGCAATTTAATATAGGCCTTTTTAGAAAGGCCTGATGAACGAGTTTTACATATAAAATGGAAAAATGGCAAATCTTACCGAAAATGCGTAGATGGCTGCACTAGCACATTCGCTGGCCAAAGCTAACCGGACAAAAAGAGAAGATCATACATCTTTAATTATGTATGTAAAATGTACACTTTACTATATATATATATATATGCAGATATAATGCCTGTCAAACAAAAGATTAAAACATATTATTGTTCTTATTCAGTTGAAAAATATCAAGGTGTTACCCTTTGAGGTGGTGAGACACGCAGGACGACTAGGTGCAAAGGGTAGTACTGCACTACGGAAAAGGTGCGCAGGTCTAAATGCATCGAATAACTAATGGGTCTGAGAACCTGGTCATGTCTTGGCTCACTCATCTCAGCAGATGTTTGTTTTTTGCTAAAAGTATAAATGCCTCATATATAGAACCCATACATATTACAAATTGATTAGTTAGAGATCAGTCACTTAAGTTAACACTTAAAAAATGAGCTGCTTCTTTTATTTGCCGCATTATGTTACTGATCAATAACTCGAAATACGGCTAGTGTGTAATTACCAAGAAGGATCTACTTTTCGAGGATATTCAGATTTGACGTACCTACGCCTATTGCAGCAAGTGCCACGTCAACGACGACCGAAAGAACAGTCACGCCGAGAATTAGGCGGCGAGCGGTTAAGCGGGCCGTGACTAGATCCGTGAACAGACCTTTCTGAGTAAGATCAAAAGGACCTATTCCCAGCGGATCGGAGCTGCGTCGTATAACTTCGACGGTGCTAGTTTTTTGGCCTTCTCCAAATGGAAGCATATCGCTTGACATATGCTTCACCATCGGTGCATTATCAACCGCTTTGTTGTGGCGAGAACTTCCTCAAACCGTCGTAAAGTCACTGATTTTCAACACTGCGAGATGTACCTTTACTTTAAAGATTGCCTAGGCGAAACTGAAGCTTGAACGGATCCAGTGCAAATCACCGGTAACTGCAATTGGTCACGTGTTAATCTGGTTTCTATTGGCTGATCCCGTGCGACACATCACAGTCTAATGGAATTCAACGCTTTTTAACAAATTATTAACGGCATGCTAAGAAACGAATTGTCAAGAATTGTTCGTGCAGTAAGTATTTTAAAAAAAAGAGGTTTGATCGACGGGACCATATTCCCTGGTCTGATCCCGTTCGATGTAAGCCTTGTGAGTTAGTCGCCTTTCGTCTATTTCATTTTTCTCATAGTGAACATATGTGAACGCCCGAAAAATATCGTTTGTTTAAGTTGTTTGTCTCTGCGTTTCGTGCGTTTTGCGGTACCACCTGGGCATTCTGTAGAGGCGAAGAGGCCAACTCTGAATGGACCGATCAATCAAATCGTTTTCTTCCAACAGATACGCATATAGTGCGTACGGTTGCCCAGTATATTACCGCGTGCTGCTATCTGTTTACTAGAAGAATATGATATTGCTTTGATATGTTTCTCACTGTATCAGAATTAAGCGAGTGGTTTGGAGTTAAGTGATGCTATTAGTAGTACATGCTTTGGATCATTACATGTAATCCCTTGTGAGTTTCGTACATTTAGAGCGCGTCCATATATACTTCTAACGTGTCCACGTTACTATAAACCTGTATTAGCATCAATTCAAATGCAGTTTCCATTGCTAGGCAACCGGCATCTGCGACCTATTTGATACCTATGAAGTACTTTAAGGGGGTAAACTTGGTCATGCTGTACCATAGTAGGAATCCGCACATGGTCTCAACCAATCCACATAACGAGGGAGAGGTACATCCCAATTGGAGCGCTATTCTGATTTGATACAAAGAGAAAGTCGCTTTGCAATCATGAAATGTAGGCGTTTACTTCGGGAGCTAAAATCATGGCATTTCGACATAACATATATTATCCTGGATATACAGATCACATGTGAATGTTATCACGCTTTTTATTAAGTATTTATATCAATGGTAATAACTGCTAATCGGTGTCCTCTCTTGACCCATCATCTCAGCCGCTGAACAAATCGTTCTTTTTACATGGGTAAGCTCGTACCATTTATTACTACTAATTATTCATTACCTGATTCAGGCCGTATATGCACAGCATTCTTATTGATATTAATAATTTATGATTTTTCAGCCTACTGAATATTATTGTGCAGAAGTCCTGAACCTTTTAAGCGAAATTATTCAGTATATGTTCTCTCCACCAACTGTTGTAGAATCTTGCAAAATAGGTCAGAGACGAAATTGAAAGATACTTGATCCTCATTGAATCCATATGACTTGTTACTATGGTCCTCGCGAAAAAAACACTTTAACTTTCCAATCGACTCAAATGTTTTAACATGTATATAGACGAAATATCTCATTTGGATAAAATTACGAAGGTCCTTTCTAAGACGTGCGTCACCAATAATCAATACCTACTGAGAAGCTCATCGAATAGGTGTCGTCCATACTCCTTTGCTTGAGCCCCGCTAAGCGGGCATTATTCGATATCCATCAAAAGTTATCCAAGCGAAGGTGCCAACGACAGCTTCGATGGCGAGCGAGGCGATCAATTAGCCGCCCATAATCTTACACATACATTGGACAAAGCGTTTGTGTCAGTTTCGGAAAGGTAATAGACGACAGCAGATGCCCCTTTATAATATTACTAGCGCATGGATGCTCTCGGTACCGAGTAAAACTCTGTTCGTTGCAAATCCTCGAAGGGCCCCACTCACTGCGTGATTAGTATTGTCGATTTGTGTGCCATGCTTGTTCAGCCTATGGCCTATTGTGTCTAAGTCTATGGCGATCACAATTAGTGCTGGTTCACCAGTGTTGCCCGCGTCTAAACCACCTCAAGCTAGACCGATATGTGCTCTCGGCTGCTGGTGCCGTTGATGTGTACTCCCTGTTTTATAGGTCCAGTGGGGCTTGCGGAGCAGGATCTACACCCAAGCAGAATCCAGACAAGAAAGGTATCCACGCCTGGTGCGCACAAACGCTCCGTGTAGCGGCCTGTTAGATTGGCACCCAGCTATTAACTAACGATTATGTCTCTTACTAGACCTTCCGAGAGCGGCCTTTGAAGTTCTCCCCTCCCCAAACGGGAGAAGTTGTAGCAGTTTTCAGTCCAGCTCCGCACGACATCGTCTGTGTCTCAAACTTTACGACAGAGCTGTGTTCTAGCACCTGAAGCCCTGCTTGGCTAACTCCGATTAACATCCAACTATTTGGTTCTGTTGCCTAAAAGAACAATTGTATTGTGTGCTATATCGATCTTTCATTTACTTACACGTTCATAACAAAACTGGTTCTCTGTGTATCTTAACAGGCTATTTCGAAAGGTTTAAGGAATGACCTAAAAGTAATTGGCAAGGTCATGCCATTGAGTCTATACCTAGCCAACGAAAATAAAAAATATTTTCCGGATCATTCATTCAGTCGTTCTGTATCCTTTAATGGTTAGTCATATCATAGCAGATTACGTATACGCATTAGCGTTTGAACATTGGCTCTTTTCGCAGAAGAGAGCTGTAACGTAAATTCAATCGCACCGCCTGGCATTTAATTAATTGTGATATGACTAGTTCTCTATTTTTGACGACTCATAATCTTTTTTAGGACTTGTAGTGGCCACCACTATACTAATTACTATCGTACATATTTAGTACCCCAGTATTAGCGTTTGCCCACATCTTTGGCCTAAACGACAGCTAGTCTGTGTAAAGAGAATACGTTCTTGAGTCACACCCCAGTATATATCTACATATACTACTTTAGCAGACACTCACTTCCGCTATAAATAGATTGACTTCGTAAATTAGAACTAACTGATAAATTAGAGACTATTGTTCAACCATTAAGGTTTACAAAGCATTTGGTGCTTGAAGAGATTGTATAAATCTTCGAATTGACACAGTACCGCATCGCGCATTTTCACAATGAGCGACTACTGAAGGAGGACAAATGTATTCGCCATTTACTATCTGTGTGCACAATCGTCTTTTAGTTCCATTGCTGGTGTATGTTAACGACTAATTGAAAAGTTCAAAAGCTACAATCTGCACGGGATACGCTGCCATCGTACGAAATAAGAAGAATTAGAGATTGGCGTAGTGCAGGTTAATTGGAACGTATACTATCACGTCCTTCAAAGGTCTACCCTAGTTATAGTCGGAGAAAACGAGAAATGAGCTGACGCATCAGATAGTCCTCGTATATTTCACGCTTTCAGGGACTTCTACATCGGTAAAACATTCATTGTCCACAGCCGCCCCACTGCCGTAGACGCTGACCAATGGGAATGATATTAAGGTCATGTAAAATCGAGACACTCGAAGAGTTATTGATTCGAGGCTAAAGGCTGACTGTGGCCGTAAGTAGTTAGTTTGCCCATCGCCAGCCGCTCACGCTGACTAATCAACAGTAAACGTTAAGAGGGAGTCTTTCATCTGTACCCAATATAGATGCGTCGTCGTAAATAGACACTTACACGAATACAGTTCTGTACGAGAAAACACATAGTTTTCCACCATCCGAGTTAAATCATTCAAGTCGGACACTGGATGACACCTAAGACAAAATCATTGATCAGAACGAGGGTCTTTTTTTTTTTCTCTCACTGTGTGTTATAACGTACGACTAGCCAACTTAAATATTCGAAAACACGACTGTGATTTTTCGATAAATACATACGGACCAGACATGTCTACTCAATTTTTTTTTGATATATAGGGATGCTTTACGTCATTTAGAGCAGACGGATAATATGGATATGTACAGTTGCAGATTTGGTTAGAACAGTTGCGAAAATGATGAAATGATCTTTGTCTACTAACGTCTAATTTTAAGATATATCTACATCAGTCCAATTCACTTGGTTGCTTAATTCGATAAAGTTCTTTCTGAGATTGGTATTCGAGGAATAAGTTTCGTGTAAAAAGCCCATATGAGTTCCATATGTAGATGTGCCAAAAAGATCATTTACGCCATCAAGAAGCTTCTATAAATGGCGAATACGCAGGGTGTGGCCGTGTGCGAGTACAATTCCTATTTCCTCCGTCCGAATTATAGCCAGGCTTAGTTTTGCCCATTCAGAGCTAACCATGTAATACTATTACTTACACCGCTTTGGTGTGTAACGTACAAAGAAGAGACGAACGAACGTATCGTATACGAAACTTTCATTGCGCATAGTCACAGGGGCCGTGTTTGGATGTGTTTTAAATTCAAGTTAGCGAAGTCGGCTAAAAAAAGTTCTCTTTGTCTAGTTACTAAGTGCAACTTATATACCATGGCGACCTTACAATAGAGACTAATTTTTATGTTAACTAGAACCGAACTGATCGATAGAGCTATACACAGTAAAAACAATTCTCGCCACTATTCGTGTACATTGGTGTAAATGTAACATCTGAAATAATAATAGGAGTCAAAATAGATGTACGTAATTGTATGTCATACATGCATACTAATCATGCATGAGTAAATAACACATGTTTAGTGTGATAATTGCGATAAACTAATTTATGCGGCTGCCGGCCGTCGCTGAATATATAAACAACTTTACTCATTAGACGATTTAGGCAATCCGCTATTGACAGCCGGTTCATTTGTAATTTGGTAAACTCGATAAAGTTTCGATCAAATCTGGGCTGTTGGTCCGGGCTTCCGAGAGGCATTATACATCTGCCACTGGCAAGCGTAAATCGGAAAAATGTACTATTTTACATTACGATATGTTTATGCATTATACGTTGCAAAGTGTACTAGGTACGATTTCTGTTATTGCGCCATTTATACTGGCAATGTTACTGGCTCATTTAACGATTAGCACAAATGAAAACACCTTTTTTTGACCCCTTCGGTTTGCACAAATACCTATTTTTGAGAGGTTTTAAATCATTAGGTCTTAACCGGATTCTATTGATGAACATCTGGCCATCTGACTCCGTTTAGGTCTTGCTTCGTTCGTAGTGCGTTGTTGACACCTTGTTGGACTGCGAGAGGTCCTAAAAAATACAATAGCGACTGTCCGTCCTTATCGCTCTCAAGGAACTTCAACATTGAATTAATTCAAATTGATTTATTCGGGAGTGGTTGGATCTATTCTAGTCCCGTTGACTGTTTAACACACACAGGCTAAGCACACATCCTATTATCTGTTTCCCGCAAGGCCTTTAAATCATATCATAGAATTTTATACCTACATCTATAAAATGTATGTGCATCTATGAAATGTAAGTGCACACCGAAAAAATACATACACTTTCAGTGTATGATATTTTTTCCGGTGTGTACGGTGAGTGAAAAACGAATCGTATCCGTCTCCGAAACAGAACTTGTCTATCGCCAAGTCGCTTGAGGATGTTATAAATTAAAAAAAAAAAACTTCTTGCAGTGTTCGCCGCTTGATTAGGGCTTACTAAAAGAAGTTCGTGCTAACGAAAATACTGATCAAATATGTATATATGGGGTTCGCTTACGCCACTTAACGAACCTCGATTACACAAAATTGTTAGCAAAAACCATTGCTTTATCCATCTCCTTACAGCTTGTACTCAGCCTCTACGCTTAGTAAAACGTTTTAACAGTCCTGTTACGCTGCTGCAGTTATTCCATCTGACGAATTTTTTTCGTGCTATACCCAATCTATTATCTCGTTAGAGCTATCGGGTTTCTGTACCCATAATGCAGGCAATCAATGTTCTTGTGCTATTGATTCCGTTGTCCTGTTAACGTTATCCTACTATTTTATCCTAGTCATCTGTCCAATACATACAGGTTAATCTTAACTGCCCTTACAGTTACCCCGTTGCACTGATTCTGTGTCTCTATTGAAATATTCCACCAACGGTGTTACTTTGTTGCCCCCTTTAGGGATAAAACAATAGGCCGATTATTGATGAACTATCTATTTTGCCCTGCCATTGCAATTAATCAGCTGCGAAGTTGCATGTGTCCTGCTTTCCGAGGCATTAACTGACCTCAGCTTTAAAATTGCCACTGTAAAATCAAACAATTTCTACTCTACCTGTAGAAAGTTGATCTTCGGTTTTATACAGAGTATTAGTTTGAGGTTTTATCTGACTCAAACCTCTTGCTGTGTTACGGTCAATCTCGGTCTGACGTTACAAATACCCCCTATTTTTTTTTGTTGTCTTTTCATTGCAACGAATCCCTTCTATGACCTTAAGGGCAACATATTTAATCAACTTCCAGCCAATTCCAAAAATTCCGAAATCAGTTTTCCCAAAATCACCCTTTTACACAACAAGCGCGAACAAACTATGCTTACTTTGCAGTGCCTGAAAAACGGACAGCTTTTTAATATGAGCCTTTTAAAAGATCACCACGGATACCAAATAAATTCCCCCAAAAAACTTAAGCATTTCAAAATTTATTCTCGGCAAAAAATCTGAAAGCTGTCTACAAAATCGAGCGGGTAGTCATTCCAAAAGAAAGATTCACCAACTCATAAAGAATCAGATTAGTACGGTATATTCCAGTGGAGCAGATTTTCGGACAGATAGGCTCACAAGCAAGTACGGATATTTATGAAAAAAATACTGTAATAATGTATATATATATATATAGTACAACGTACTTTGTAGTCACCCACGGACATTTCGTATGACAATCCCGCGACTGAAATAAATCTAATTAAGTACATTCGTCGACTATTTTAAAAACAGCAACGGGCAGGGTATCTCGCAGTTAGATCTTGCCAAACAGAAAGTACGATACGTCTATGAGCCTCATCGTCGTACGCTATACTGTGCAAGTCGAAAACGGGCACATGAGACCGGAGGTGAGCAGGCCATATTTTTCTTATCTTTTAGTGAGAAATTTTCCGTTTATCTGCGTCAGTAGAATAGGAGCATTACGGTAATGTATGCCCGAGGCCTCGTAGCAATTTCAGTTGTTCGACCTAAAAAAGCCGCCGTCGCTCGACCGCAGTGACAGTCGCTACCCTTCAACCGAGCAAACGACACCAGCGCATGATGATAATGATCAGCAATAGTCCCAGGTGGGGTTTTGTTGCTCATGCTTTTCTTTTTTTATTCGCAGACAGGTACTTACTGTTCCGCTGACCTCATTCTCGCAGAATCCTAAAATACATACAATCAACATAGATCGTGCGAATCGCCGTTCTTCTCCTGAATGCTATAAACAGCTCAGGCCGTTGTAACTAGAGAGATTGTTAGTTAGATTTTAGCTTGATTTCTTTCAGTGGTCTTTTACGTTATTCTTCCGTCCTCTTCCTGCGCTTTCTCTTTATTTGTATGCTTCTTCCGTTCAGTAATAATTTTGTCGATTTCAATAATATCATCGCCTTGTTGACATATTTACGACGAACTCGCCAAGTGAGACAGACGCCGCCCTGCGTCCAGCCTGACCTCACCAGCTTTGTATCAGCTGGTTGCCCATAGAAGGACGCGCCGTTTGCTCCTAACGTCCGCGCTCCCGCCCTCCCAGCCGTCTTTTCTGGTAACATCTGCCGGCGCTACATCCGTTATTACTGATATGTTTTCTGTCATTACGATGCTATCCGTCGGATGGTCGATCGAGTAAGCGGCGACGTCAAATAGCTGTTCATCAGTGAATCACCACTATGGTCGGCTCTGTTAGTGTCATTCTACATTTTCTGTTACCTGCTGCCTGTGATGAATAGTTGACGCCTATAGAGACACAATTACGTGACAAAATTTCTTTCTTGAAAAGTCGGCCGGTGTGCTACTCCTTGCCTATCTTGATACGTCATTTTAAGTGATGGTATTCCAAGGCATCTGCCCAGTTCCTGCTTCAGCTACTTCAGGATTGTACTGCAGCTCCACGATCAAATGAGAATAGTGTTTCAACAAACAGATATTGCACAGAAACTTATTAAGGCATATGGTGCCATATAAGGTAATAAACAAGAAGGGTCAGCTGTCTCGAGTCGTTGAGACAGCCACTTCTACCTTACTACCATCAGACATGCGCGCCGGTCGTCTCTCGAAGTTCCTCGCTGGTTGGATGAGCCAGAATTCTTCCACAAGCCTCCAACCAGCTATACAAATTTTTCGTTACAACAAATAGTGCCATATCACCAACCTAAATTCACCGTACCGATGGTAGCTAGCGACCGTGACGTGTAGAGCGGTTTCGTTACCTCTTTTTCTTTGTATCTTCCTGAATGAAGCTAGCGTAGCTGTTGCCTTTGTCGACAGTGCGGTACGTTATTAGCAAAGGCGGCCACAGCAGATGTAGCCAACCAGTCAGCATTTTCCTGTCTTCATAGCATGAGCGCAACTAAATAGCTGAACACGCACATATGTAAAAAGGGGTATCCGCTGCCACGACATTCGGCTTAAAGAAACCATTGCAGGATCTGGATCGCTTATCGTGGATTGGATTGCACATTGACGAAAAGATGGATAGAAGACAGGTGACAAAACAGACTAAAACACAATGGGGCAGAAAGGTCGACATGAGGAGTGCAAGAAGCAAGCGTGGAGTAAAAAGTTTAGCGGAACGCTAAACAAGCGAGACCACTAAGTACAACTCGAAAGCTTTGCTAAATAGGACAGAGAAGAAAGGATACGCGCCGCGATTTCGAAGGCATCCAAAGCAGGGCAGGCGAAGATAGACGATAATAATGCACCACCTCTGCGAGCGACGGCAAGTGGCTTAAACCCACAAGCACGTGACCTCGATAACAGTTTTGCCCGTGGTACAGCTGGCCGATAACAACAACCTTTATCGGGGGGAGAAAGAGAAGGGGGGGGGGGGTGGAATCCGCGAAAATTAGCGGAACCACGTGAGACAAGCAAAACTTCAGACTTTTCTTCTTCTACGTGACGCACACGCCCGCTACCATCGTTCCTCCCGACCCTTCTCGCCAGCTATTGCTTTGCGCCTTCTATCAGCTGCTGCTGCTACTGATCCATATATACCGATTGTCCGGCGTGTCTGTCATTGTTACGTATCTGAGTCGTGAGCCATCGTCTGATCTTCCTCTCATTCAGTGCGTTTTATCGTGTCTCGATCACAGCAGCGGTAACGGTAGCAGAACAACAATGTCTGCCTGGGTAAAATAACTGAAAATATTAATATTAATAGTCGTAGCCATCGTACCTTACGTAAATGGTCACAGCGCTAGCGGCCATAGCGAGTAGTGTTGAGTCTGGATAGACGCCGGTTGTCATAGTCATGATGCTGGTTGTAGAGGCGGTAGTACCAGCGACCGTAGTGACGGCCGTGAGTTGTCTGTAGGCAGTGGGTAACAGTAGCGGCAATCAGCAGTGGCCAGCGGGTGGGCGTGCATAGCATTCAACAAGTGTGTATAGCAAACTGCTGGCGCATGCGCGACGGCTGCCCCAACGATCTAACGACGGGGTTTGCCCCTCAGGACAAACAATGTTGGTGGCTCCATCTCGTGGCGCAGGACTAGCCAGAAGGCCGGGAGGAGAGTTCACAATGATCCTAGGCATCTCCAATTCAGTTTCCAGCTAGCCTGTGCTCGCTCCTGTGGCCACGGCGAATTACAGTCGCAGCCGTACCAGCTGCAATAGTAGAAGGAGTAGTACTTAACGTAAGCGACAGAACAGGACTAGCAAAAGGACCAATAGGACCAACAGGCGACGATTAACACGGGATAGACAAAAGGCCAACTGAACGGGAAAAAGCTACTGAGAAAATCGGGGTGCAGAGTGCAGCATTTGCAGTAGCCGGCAGCCACTACGGAGTCACTGCTTCTATCGCCATTTGTCACTGACCAGCAAGCGTTGATCAGAACGGATAACCGTGAACCGCAAATGCCGAAGCACGGTCACGACAGCATAGTGCATGCACGTTTAACACGTACGTACGAGGTGCAATAATGGATTATTGACGTCTTCCTGTCGTTGACAATGTACTACTGCGAGGCAGTGGCAGCTGGCTGACAAGCGGCGACGAGCTGTGGCTCGTCGAACAGCCGATCAAGCCGGCCAAAAACAGAAAACGCGGTCAACAACGAAAGTGATCACAACAACAATATCGTCATCATCATCAACAGTTCCAATAACTGGATTAAAAACAACCGTCAAGCATGAGTGGGACTAAGTGGCGTGTACATGTTGCTTTGCGCCTCCGACGATGAACGACGTCAAAGCGAAAGCCGAAGCCGTCCAGAGGTCTAGTGCGAGCTGATGGATAAGAAGCAGGCAAAATCAGATCGAGTGATGTTAGATCTGCTCTAGGATAGCCTAAACTGTTTTGGTTTGGCCTCTTCAAGTTGTTGTGGCTTTGAGGACGTACGTAAAAACAACAAGGCGCCAATTTTCATAGTAAGATTTTTTCATCCGTTATTGGATAGTGGTGTCTACATTCTGCCGCGGCACTACCTGAAGATTGTTATCAGTTGAAGATTACTATCATTATTATTATTAACCGCAAAGAAGTGCGTCTATAAGCGGCCAGGCACAATAGTTAAAACCACGCAGTGATTACTTTGTTATTTCACTTCGACCGATAGCTTGTTGCATTTGTTCCTTCTTCCTCACTCGTACGTCAAGCACCAAATCAGAACTATCGTTGTCAAGTAATGAATTATTTCGCATGTCCGACGTTCAGCCTGATCATTGATGTTTTGCCAGGAAGCGATCAAGTGAGCTAAACCGTTCTCTTCTAGTTCCTCCGGGGGCTATTAGTTAAACAATTACTGGCACAATTATCGCTCCCGTCCGAGCACAATATACAAGGATTCCTAGGGCGATGGTTATTACGGCCCCGTTTCATCGAAGCGCTGTGTATGTCGTTGTTATTCATTTCGTGCTGCCGGGTTTTCAGTGATTTGATAATTACTCAGATCCGTTCCGTCTGTTCCTGTGCCCCTCGATGTATCCTATCCGGCGAAATTTTCTTGTCACTACTTTTTGATCCGGCAAACAAGTTTGCGTTCAGCCCTCTGATCAGTTCCGCCACAACAGTTAACTACCGTCCACCGATAACGGCTGTTCGTGGTCGTTACTTCCAAAGTACCTCCGAAACCAGGTTCCTACTGCTGTTTTCGTTATCAATATCAGTTCTCAAATGTGTTTGCGTCTCATACGAATGTCGTTAGTTCAAGAATGTGTTGTCAGTTTTAGCGGACATTTATGACGATGATCGACTTAATTATTATTGTGATGTGAGGTTCCATCAGCATAGGATAATTTTCGTGTAAAGTGCTCCTTTATAAAATCGTGCGTGTTTGTGTTCAAGGAGTGCACTTGCCGATCAGCTGGCAAACGGTCACGATCAGCCAACCAGGCTATGCATTTATATAGAGATCCTTATCGACCAGCCGCGAGGATTTGTGGTTAGTGTATGTCTGTGCGTTTATGGTCGTGCTGTTATTACGATCAGCTACTACGAGTGACTAATTTGAATTGGTTTCTCAAGCGACTGGATTGCTGACTTGGGTCCGTTTTGCCTTTAGTCGCGAGCGAGACGCACGAGCTATCAGAATAAGAAGCTCACATAAACGGTAACAGTAGAAATCGCACTATGACCGCCAAGCCGCGTCTCCGCCATTCGCAGCCGCCTAGATGGGCACGTCTTGGAACAAAGCGCATTAGCTCTCAGCACTCGCTCAGCGCTTGCAGACGACACTGACGTAACCTGTTGTTGTTGAGGGGGCCTCTTGCCGCTACTGTTGCCTGTAGTCCGGGACAGCCTCATAGTCCATGCACAAGCAATTGTTTTTCTTCTGCATAAATACGCACCTAGGACATGGCTGCATGAGGAAAGGTTCCAATAGCCAGCAGTGTAAAGACGACTGATATACTTACTCAAAACGACAAAGAATTAAACGCTCATATGGAGGTAATAATTGAGACCAACATCAGAGACTGAAAAGGGTCATTTAATGACATGCTAAAATCTGTTTAGGTAATACTTGCTAGGATCTGACCTGTACAGTTTAGCTACGCTCCCTTAACATATTTATAAAGAACATCTGCTAAAACGAGAAGATATCGAAAGGTACTGGTGGGCTGATGCTGTTATCGAGTGTGATCACTGTCGATTTGACAATGCTTCGAATTAATTTAGAAGTGACAAAACTTTCCAAGAGGACTTTACGTCGTGGAAGGGCATACGCTCGATAAGGATTTACTTCTGTTGTGTAAAGGGCCTTTAATGTAAAGTGATGACTAATAGGAACCAGGAGACAGTAGCAGTGTAGTCTCCACTCGATTTTACATCTGACGGTGGGTAGCAAATTGATCGTGTGTGGAATCGGTCTTCGTTCGTGCGACAATGCCACCAGCTCTGTATCTATGAAGTTTGAACATCTCATTATTGTCGTCAATACCATCATGACTGTCTAACGAAGTAGAGCCACTCTTTTGCTAGTCCGGCTTCTATGCGCAATCGACAAATGTTACATTGAATCTGAAAAAGCATAAGTTTTCATAAGAACACAACTATTAATAAAAATTATACTAATTGTATCCCTAGTCAGCCGGCAAAAATTCACTAAAGCAAATCAAACCTCAAAGTATTACACCGATACTTCAGTTGGTAGGCTCACCGGAAATCAATTCGTCCTTAATTTATTCTCATGATTTAACTTGAAGAGTGGACGATATCCTGTTTAATTTGAATCTGAAAAAGACTGCGTAAGCTCGATTCGGCAGGCAACAGCTGGCGACTGGTATCCGTTGTCCAATGAAGTGCGCAGCTGTCCTCAGACCAGGAAAAATACTGGTTAAATTGAAAATCGCGCCGTTCCATTAGAGAGATCGGCGTTTCTTTATAGCAACTTGTCGAATTTTTGTAGTGGTTACATCCAGGAGGCCTTCATTTATATACTAATAACATATTATTGGTATACGGCTAATAAAGCGTTTTGAAAGGTTTCCTCAGCTAAATAATCAATATACTGATCGAAATAAACGGAACCTATGACTTAGAGAAGCAGGTAACGGCCTTGGACCTGAGGACCGTTTCCTGATATCTTAACAAATGGTCGTGTAGAATAACATTGAGATGAATAACGCAATAAAATTGGGCCTTGTTTACAACCCGTAGCCCCTTTTTCTATCCACACCAAAACCACTACGTGCTTCTACGCATTGCATATGTGGCGGAATAAAACTAGTTTCAGAAACATTAAAATTTGCGTCTCTTTCAATACAGCTCATCTACTTTGTTCGACGATTTTTGTGCTGTTCTTACCAGTTAGAAGAAACGATTCTCAACTAGTTTTCTATTTATCAAACGACGCATACGAGGTGGTGCATGGCTAGCGTGAACCTACTTGTATCTCAACTTGGATAAGTTGACTAATTATACAGTGAAGTTTACAGTTCCTCTTTAGTCACTGGAAGGAATTGATAATACGATCTTGACAGCTACATAAGCACGTGCGTCAATCTAAGACCGCTTTGGATGCAAATTTTCCCGTTCGGCAGGACAAACACAAACACTGGCTCGTTACCAGAAAATATGGCCTGGCGGACATCTAAGCTGCAGATTCATTGCGGACACGTAGAGCTAATCAATTTTAGTCTACATGCGTGTGTGTTTGTATCAAATAACAAAAAAAAAACTCGGATAACTTTTAAAAAGTAACTAAACTTGAACCTTTGAAGAAAGCGTGTTTTTTTAATGGCCCTCGACTAAATTGCCCCGCAACGTTTGGCTTTGAAGTCTCCTCGGACAAGGTGTGCGAGCCCGGCCTCCTAGCTACGTAATCCACCCATACGCATTGCCCCGGTTTCGTTATAGTTCCTCTTACCGCAAAGGTACTTTGTTGTGAGAAAGTTATCTATTGAATTATTCTGCGCTGATGTCCTGATTTGTGACTCAAGAGAGACGGGCCATGCAACAAGCCCTAATAGCGCCTTACTTATAACTAGAACAAAATTTAGTTATGCAAATTCTTAAATGAACATCAACTTTAAGATAATCGAAACGCTATTAAACTTGATCGTACGCTGTAATTAAGGAAACGTGCATAGTAAAAAGAGAGAATACACTCGTTGTCTCGTCCCTCAGTTTAACATCGAGGAGCTAACACAGTCTTCTAAAACTAAACAATACCACATAACAGCAACCAACACATTATAGGCGAGTGTTGATTAGAGTATGCTAGCATTACCTGCACACCATTTTATCATCGCCGTTCTATAAAAGTGATCGATCCGTGTAGAATCTCGTGCACATAATATTACACTCGTAGCATATTATGTTATATTGAAACATTAATGTACGGATTCATTTGCAAGGGCGCTAAGCTAATAGTGACCAACAGAGCTGCGTTTTAGGACCAGGGTGAAACAAGTTATGTAGACCACTACATGTAACCCAGGATTCCTTTGGGTAATGCCAAAAGAAAAGATTGAAAATACTAATTTATTTCAGGGTACAGCTTGGTCTGTTAAAACTCTGCGTATATACTCTGCAGGGTAAAACAGGCGACGATGTTCCTGCTCTCGTTGCACCGCACGACAACAGAGAACAAATTTTCCCTTTGTGGCTTTGTTGACAGACGGGTTTTCTCGCACGAAATCATTAGCGGCATATATGGCTTTATTTTTGGCTGGTATAGCCCAGTTTTTTGAGACTCGGTGGGCTATGGAATGGAGTCTTTAACATTATTGAATTGTTCAAGTCGTTTGTAAGTTGCGCGGTGAAATGTTTTCTGGAAACACACTGGTCTCAGCGGCAGTCTCATGATATCCTAAATAATTGGTGAATGGATCAATAATAAAATAGGACAAATTTTAAAATATTGCGTCCTCGTCTTATTGTTGTATAGGACTGAACAGCGTCGAAAGAGCGAATAAGCCCATTCATTGTCGAATAGAACTCTGGCATTCTCAATCATATGTGTCCAGTCGTTATAGACAATCCACATCAATCATCGAAGTATTCTGAATATTGGACTCAGAGCACCGTCTAAATAACTACTACCACTCTCCAGAAAAATATAAATAGATTTTCCTCGTAGTTATTCGATCTGTGACAGCTTCGAGGCTAATATTGATTGAGTGTTGTATTTTATTTACTTACTGGCAACGTAGAGGCAAATCTTAAGTCAGACGTAAGAAAGTACGACAGGTCGAATGAATCCTCCCAAATTTGCAGAGTTTAGTGAGCTTCAATCGTTTTTGTTAACGTTTTCTTTAGTTCTGTGAAAGGAAGGTCGTATTAAATAGAAATGCAAAAGAAATTTTGTTGTCTGCATATTGACATGTATATGATTTAACGTTTCACACAGAGAAGATTATTAAAAGTATGTCGTTTGAATATATGATACAACGGTTTTTAGACAAACTAATTTGAGATCAGCACACATTGGCCCAAAAACAAGTGATACGGTTAGCAGTACTAACAGTGCCGTGTTTTCGCCTATCTCAAAAACTCACATGTCACATATCAGTACTTTATTCAGTTATCGTTATCGCATTCGTTCGTGCATATAAATCGTAGTCTATCTGCCATTATGACCTGTATAATGCAGCCTGATAAGTATCTGCACACTGCACGTTATCATACAGTGGGATATCACTGATACATGCAAGGTAATACAATTACGCACGACGCTTTTACGAGTGAATTAATTTGAAAAAAATTTAATAGTTTGAATATTCTAAAAGTATTCAGTCTCGATACAAATATTGCATCTTCCCTACTAGGTTGGTGCTGGGAAGATCGAAAATATATGGTTGGTAGTAAGTTATGCTTTGATACATTTCCCTGTTGGCGTCTTGCGTTCGAGTTGTCTACGCGGGCACCGCCACTGTAAAATTATCAATAGCAGTACTCATGTTATTAATCATGTGCGATGATGCGAAATCGATTAATTAAAAACATGCTTGTACTCCATATCGTTCGTAAATGAGCGGGGGATTAGCAGACAGCCAAATAGTAAATACGGCAGCATTTGCGATGATGCAACGTAACCCTGTGATACTGTCCTTCTTTAGAAATTTATTGCCGATGATGGGAATCGATTAAAGTGGCACCAGCAAGTGTCGTACAGAATATGGATGACATTTCTTGTTGACGAACCTAGCACTGAGACGGCTAATCAAAGAACTTGAAGGGACTGGCTCGTGGATAAAGTGAGGCCAGGGATCACAAGTCAAACGAATCAACCACAACACAGAGGTAGCTCGGAGCGGCGTAGGTGTCGGCCCAATGACCTCAACGCAACGACAAATCGGCCTATTAAGGAACACTGCGCTACATATTTTGGCGAAAGGGTCGCATCTTCATTTCTACGGAACACAGTCGATCCATTAATTAATCACCACAAGCGTTGTTTATTCGCTGATTACACGTTGGACCGCACAACAAATGCAGTCGATCTCTCTCATCCCCTACTCTGTTCTAGTGAAACCCATTTTTAGCTGAATTGTTATGAGAGCACAAAGTATCCTCATTTGGGGTACAAAGAACCCAACAAAATCCGTTAAGGAATAAACTTGCCCACAAAGGGCTACTGTGTAGTACGACTTGTAGAGCACAGGTGTCATTAAGTGCTTGCATTTTTGAGCATGGTGATAGCATGACAGCAAAAGTCACTAAGGAACCCTAGCGCGACATCTTGAATACTATTCTGTGTACCGAAATAAGCATGCTGGACGTAAGTGATCTATAGTTTCAGCAAACGATCTGTTTGCTGAGAGCTGTGTCCCCAAACCACCAGATCTTGTTACGCGGACCGGACTGGGCAAAAAATCTTTATTTTCCATTCGAGGGCATTATTGTACAATGAAATACAAGATTTTGGCTGATTTTCTACTATTGTTATTATTATTACCTGCTAGTTTTTGCAAATAATGAGTAAATCAAAGATCATTTTTCTCAGCCTAGAAAAGGCAACGCAACGAACGTCAAGTTGGTTTTCCAGCACACACATTTGTAGTCGTATGAGCGTCCGCGAGACAATTTTCCCGCGTTACAAGGTGAAACACTGTATATGAATTCTTTCTATGTATTCGTACTCAACACATATGGGGCCGCAGTATTCGCATGTATCGAAAAACGCCGACGTTATGTTGAATCAATGTACACCCTTTTGGGAACCGTTGCCAAATCAACGCAAAAGGGGGCTTTAGATATCGAGGACTAGTGGAAACTGAGAATGGGACAATTATTAATAGCTATTATTTTATTACACCTAGAATGAAATGACCTGTCGAAAGGACACTTTTGCTAGTTTCTTATTTATTAGAAATGATCTCTATTACATCAC